ATGAGTCGGGGCCAACTTGACGGCACATAACAACAACAACAACATGTACCATTTCAATGCACATATTACACAACACATACCACATGCAAAAACACATCACACCCATGCAGACGTCACATATACATTACACACACACACCCCATATATAAACCACACACCACACAGATGCACACATACACACCACACTCTGACACTACATGCACACTATTCATACCATGCACCCACCCAACACACACACATCACACCACATGCACTACAGACACATACACACATGCATGTACACATACTACCATACACCTATATAGCAAACCCCATCGCATACATACCACCCACACTACACAATCACACACTACCCCATATATGCATGCACATACTATACACTACACACACACCCCACATATTAACCATAGACACACCACACACACAACACCATGCACACACACAAGTAGGTTTCAACTACACATGCCACACATTATACACATACACACATGCATACAAACATACTACACACACATATCACACACCATGAAAACACATCACACTCACACACCATATACACACACCTCACACACACAGATATCACCACTATACCACATACACACACACCACATGTCTACAAAATCTGCTGAGATTTTGATATTGACTGCAATATTGAATCTATAGATCACTTATGGGAGAACTGTTATCTCTACTGAGTCTTCTAATCCACCTCCTTTTCTGGAGGACTCTGTGAAGTGGCCTGGGCCTGGGCTTTTCGTCGTGGCAAAAGGATTAATTACAGACTCAAGTTCTTCAACAGATGTAGGACTATGCCGACCTTCTGTTTCCTCCAGTCTCAGTTTGGGCGTGTTGTGCTTGTTCAAGGAATGCGTCCATTCCGTCAAAGTGTCAGATTTATTGGTATACACTGTTTACAGTGTGCTCTCATTGTCTTTGTAATGTCTGTAGGCACTGTAGTATTTCCCCTTTTACATTTTTTGTGTTGGTAACTTACAGAGTCTCTTCCCCTTTATCAGTCTTGCCAGGGGTTCAATTTTAACTAGCTTTTAACGTTTCTTTTCTTTATTTCCATGATTTCTACTCTCCCTTCTTTCCATTTATGAGGGTTGAGTTTCTTTCTCTCTCTTCTTAACATGAAAATATAGATGTTTGATGTTTAGCATTTCTTCTTTTTTTT